TATGATAAGAAGAAGACTATCGGGTTGTTCACTTGGAAGTGAACTCGTTACTTGTATCAAAGATGTCAAACTAATATGATAAGATTGATAACTAAGTTGAGCACGAAGCTCCTATCTAATGGCAGACATGCCAGTGTTATATAGAACCTTCTTGCTCATGGATCTGGTTGGATCCTAGGATCCCCAAGATCCATCCAGATCCAAAGATCCGTCACGTGACTATAATGAAATCCTTGGATCGCTTAGCTAGTCTAGCCGATCCCTATTCGCTATAAGAGCATGATAGTGCTTAACCTGTCAGGACGCCGCCTGGTCTTCACTCGTCACATGCTAACACGTGATTCGTGACAACTTTATAGATCCGCGCAACCTTCTTAACTTTTAAATGTGCGTTCGTACAAAGCGTATTTAGCGCAAGAATCATATCAGACTCTGTCCAATGCTTAACCATTTTGTTTGTTAAAAATAAACGCGCTCTGAATAAGTTTGTGGAGTGCCAAGAAAAAAATCCATTTCGCTTGGGAATCCAACTCGCTTGTGGACTACGTTAGTCAAATCAAATCAGATCAATATATCGATTAATCAAATCAAATCGCTAAGTGATCTAATTAATTCAGATTACTCGTAATTCAGATGAATACGGAGTCCGTTCGGTCCGAGACTCGGGCGGGTAGTCCGTGATAGCCGTAGTGGATCCGACAGCTCGGATTATGCCCGCCCTCCCTATATAACGCATAAGTGAGTTTGAAAAATAGTTATATATTAGAACTCTTTACTAATTAGTTATATGGACTATTCCCTTACTTTAGTAGAAGGCTTATCTATAGTGCTGTGTGTGTGTGTGTCTATTTAACGTCTAGGCGGGCACGTACGCAAGTCACGTGCCCTTCAGTCCCCGTTGGGGCAAAAGACGCCAGGGGGGGAGGCCCCTGTCTTCCTGTCCAGCTAGCTAGATTATATAAGAGTTTAAAGGCTGTAGCGGGGTTTACATGTACGCTTTAGCTGTTGTTTTGTCCGCTTGAGGAAGTAAAACAGTAGTGCTGCCACCTCTTTGCAGCATGATCCTCCAGCCTGTGATCCTAGCCCCTGTTCGCCGCTGCC